CAAAAGAGAAATAAGAAATATTTAAAAGTCCTCACTGTGTAACCTGAGCAATCACAAAGATCTACAAAGCACCCCCCTGGCAAAATTCATTTCTGAGCTGACAGTGTTCCTCAAAGGACTTCCTCCACAACCATTTATAAAAGAAGCTGTGCTTTCTGTGTGCAGATTTCTGACAGTCCTGCTGTTTCAAAATTGAGATGTGCATAAAAAAGCAAAGTTGAGATATTGGAGCAATGCCTACAGCAGCAAGGCTTAGAAATCTGTGAGGCACTTTCATTGGTACTTCAGCTCAAAAGCAAAGCTGAAACGGGTTTTGGTAAAATACTCCTAAACAAACAAAAAATGTACACAGCTAAAGACCTTGAATGTAAACCCTTTTCATCACACAAGGAAAGGACACAAACCTGCTATCAAAAATGTATTTCCCTGACCTGTACACAGGCACACCTCTCCAAACAGCTTCCTCTGCAGAGAGGTGTCAGCCTGAAAAATCTCTGCTCATTTTCCCAACCTCTGCATCCAAAATGGAAGGGAGCTTCTACTCACAACACACCTTTTGAAGAGGATTTCCCATCTCTTCACACTACTTAAGCAAGATGAAGCAAGCAGGAGGGGCAAAACCAACAATCTTGCCCCAAATGCAAAGTTCCAGTTTAAAGTTATTTAAAGAAAAATACAGAAGGAACATGAGCTTCTGATTGCACAAAGGATAATCTTTTATAGAATATTTTGGAAAGTCACATCTAAAACACTGCACTTTTGAGAAGCTCAAAATCCAGAAAGAACAAATATTTTAAAATAGCATGAGAGTGTATTCCTCATCCCTTGAGCCAAGAGGGGTTACTTAATACCTCACCTGGCCAATCAAAAGCCCTTAATTCCCTATAACACTAAGTACCACCCTACTCAGAAGACCCTCTGATCCTTGTTGTGTTAAATTGTGTTTGTGCTACATCAAACAGATCAATGCACACCCAGGTTTCTTACCTATTCTTCACATTTTAAACCACTCTCAGTGTAAAGGCAAGCAGCAAAGACAACTCTTCAGCAATTTCCCTTGAGCTCCAGCTTAAAGATTTAATTGTAAGACTTCCTAGGACCTCAACATTTGGATCATTGAAATTTTTTATTTTAATTTTCCTTGTTAGCTTTAAAAATACTTTCCACCTACAGATGCTGTAAGCTAATTCTCGGTGACATTCTAGGAATTGCCTTTGGGATAGAGTTTTTACAAATGAAGCTAAATTTTATGGTAAGAATGCAAACCAACAAACAAGAGCTAGTTATTTGTATCATATTGTGACTCATATTTGATTTGCTGTAAGTATAGAGCTACGTCGGAAATTAATCTTGGATTATTTTTTCAGTAAGAGTAACTATTATATACCCTTAATTATGTATGGTAGGTGGTGAGCTCAGTGCCTGAGCAGTTGCTGTACTATTATGTGGCATTCTTTGTGCTGTCTTTATCTTCCACATCAGTCTCTTCTTGTGGGAATTAAATGCCAGGCTGTAAATCACTCTTGAAAGACAGCTGAAAAGCAAGCGTGCTTTCAGATTTAATGTGCTTTCAGAAATGAGTGACCCTCCCTACAAAACCACCAAATTTTGCAGATTTGTTCTTTTTTGGGGTTTTTTTAGAGGTTTTTAGAAGACGCATTTTATGAAACAATGAAGAACAATTAATCTAAGCACTACAAAAATACACAATTTTGATCATAGCAAACTAGCATGGTTCTCTTGAAATCCATGGGTCTATCCTAGCTTGGGTCAAACAGATATCTGACCTCAGCTGGGCTTGGAATCTGAGGGAAATTTGTTACATTTAAGGCTGCTACGTTCCTTTTTCTATTGTGATAAAATAAAATAGATATGACCATACAGATTTCTATAAAAGGAAGGATTGCTCATTATGATCTCATGATCTGTATTCCTTCAAAATATAAAATACTTTACTTTTTACAGTGTTTTCCTGTGTGGGATTTTAAATACTAAGCATAAACAATAGGGGGAAGAAGCATCCACCACATTTTGTTTGGACAGCGCTCCAACAAAGGAGATTCTCAGGTGGTTTGAGGGTGATCCTGAGGGAGAACTGCAGCCACTGGTAACTGTCCTTCTCATAACCTGGTGGGAAACCTTTTACTTCAGGTACATCTTCTACATAAGGATCTTGATTCAAATTTAAGCTAAAATAGCAGAACTTTATATTCAACTTTTGGAACTGCCACGCTAAAGTATCTGGCAGAGAAAAGAGTGTTGTCAAGACAGATACTACAGGAGACCTTTTTAGTCTTGTTTTTTCCTCAAAGAGGTTGAGAGAAGCATATTTTGTATTTGGGACTGTAGTATATTAAGAGGCACCTATTGACTTCATATTCAAGGAGTTTGAACACAACACAAGGAAAGGTAATTTGGCAGTGTTTACACACTGCCAAACCTAGCACTAGGCTTTCTATATGCCCTGACTTTTTCATGTAGTTAGGAAAACAAATACAAACTCATCCAAAGGTGGGCTAGAATTGTGCTGGGCACATACTGGCTCCTATCAGAAGCATAAAGACTTGAAAGATTAAAAACACATGTCAGCAGAACAGAAGCAAAGAAGAAACAAAGAACAAAGTTAAATGCATGCCATTACCTAGGAGAAACGGAACACTATCCTTTGGAAGAGCCCCGAGTGGTATTTTTAGCCCCTGCGGGCAGTTAAGAGCCATTAGTTCAATTAGGAAGCCCAGATCAAGTCGTGCTGCCTCAGCTTTGTGTCAGAGGTACCTGCGGGCTGATCTAAAGCCGAAGGCATTCAAGCGGAAATGGAGCAGGACATGACAATCTCTTGCTTAAGAGGTCTTCAACAGCTCCTCTTCCTCTGCCCTAAATCATCTCTCCCTCTCCAGGTATCCAGCAGCAGTCTAAGCAAAGGCAGCCTCTTGTGCCAAGCACCAAGTCCAGAAGAAGGAGCAAGAGAAACACAGGCACAGCTCGCTACTGGCACAGGGCTCATGGGGCAGAGGAACCTGCCCTGCTTGTCCTGACACCAACCTCAGCTATTTTGGCTCTTGGTCTCCATCTCCAACCAAACACATTGCCAGTTAAACCCTCCCAGTCCCCACATGCCTGGGAGCTCATGAAAGGATAGGGAAGCTCTCACATCACACAGGTGAAAAATCCTTGTGAAGGAGATAATTCACAAATTTAAAAGAACAAAATCAAAACGTGTTTCTGTTTTATGTAGATTTGATTAATTCTCACTCTGCTCCTGGGGACTCAGCCTCAAGCCAAGCTACACTTTGCTCCACAGTGTTTGAGTTTGGATGCTACTCTTTTGCACCCTCTCTAATGAAGAAGCAGGTGTGGGTTGCTACACTTTTTGCTGCCTTGCTTGACTGCAAAACTCATCTGAGAACAAAAGCTCTTTGTGAGACAAGGCTTTAAACATTCTTAATAAAAGCAGCAGAATAACATCCTTCACTGTTCCTTACTTTCAGGAAATAGATAATTAGACAGATGGCAAAAAATCCTACTTGGTGCATCATTCCTTTCATCTGTTAACAACAGTAAGAAATCTTCAGAAACTGGTAAAAACAATGATGAATAATTCCCTGCTTAATCCTGAACTAACCTTGTCCTGCCAACACTGGAATCTGAATGCTCAGAAAATCTCAGGTTTGGACCTGTCAGTTTCACAGGCTGAGACTAAAGCATGGGATGATATAAAATTCTGACAAATACATTCAGAAAGCTGAGATTATTGCAGATTCATAAGGACAACTGTAACATAAATCAGTGACCTGTCTCAAGACCCTTACACTTTAAATATGTAGAGATGTACCTAAAGTGACAGATAAGACTCCAGATAAACAACTTTCTGGACAATTCTACCATTCAGGCTGCTTCATCCTTTGGTCTCTGTTGCTGGACAAAAAGACTGTGTCAGCATTTCTCAATCTGTGGTCCACGCATAGGTGACATTGCATGAGATATCAGAAGCTTCTTTCCCCCCACTCCCACATTTTTCTCCTCAGGAGACAACTCTTTGATTCATTTACTGCAACACACCCTAGGAGAATGTCTTGTTTAGACTCTCTGCAGTTTTACTTGTCCTCTGAGTGGGTGTTACTTGCATGGCACTACTCAAAGGCAGTTCTGACACTGATGGCACTAGGTAAGAAATATAACCTACTACAGGGTACTGCTCAGCTTCCCAGAATAAACATTTACTCCAGCAGAAACTGGAGTTTTACCTTTCATATTTTCTACTTATGTTTTTTGTGTATAACATATTTCAAAACAAAGAATTGACAAAATTACCACCAGACAAGACTGTGCCCAGTTAAAGGCTAAAGGTCCTGCTCAGGTGCAGAAGATAAGAAATTATTAGCTGTACTCTCAGGAGAGAGAAAAGAGAGAAAGCTATCACATCTTTGAAATGTCATCCCAGTTTGCATTTTCTTTCTGTGCCTCATTCAAAGCAGATGCTACGTTTTGGCAGGAAATTAAGAGCAAAACCTTCCTGCACAGATTAATTTCATGACTCAATTTGTATAAAAAAAGCCTTCTGTGAGTTGAACACCACCCTTTGGAAAAACCTGACTGGGTGCTCCAGGGTGAGAAGAGGGGTGCTGTGGAGGCTCCTGCACACTGCCAGCCACTCCCTCGCTGGTGCTCACACCTCTGACTCCTCTATCCCATGGGATTTGTGTCTTCCAGGGGAAACTACCAATGCCACCAGCAGGCTAAGCTCCACCCAGGCACAGGGGTGCAGCCTGTGGATGCAGTGGGACTGCACCCACATGTACCACAGCAGGACTTTCCACACTGCATCTGAAACCAGTTTGGGCCACTGCCGGCAGAACGTCATCTCCTGCCACCCGTGACACAGGAGGAGACATTTTGCTTTTCAAGAAGGTGCCCAAATTAAATTGCATCTGCAGTGTTGGGAGGGTCCCCTGCTCTGCTAACCACTCAGCACCACATGCACCCAAGGAAAAAATGTTTACCTGGTATGGCCACGGTTAACCTTTTTTCCTTGCTGAGACGGTGCCCATGGATGAATTCACTCATGGAAGGGGGGCCCCTCAGAAGATATGATTCTGTGGAGGCGGGATGAGGGGGGGCTCTTAATAATTTCTGGAGGTAGGTCCCTGAAGTCCTGGGATGGCTCTGATCACAAAGGGAAGGTGAGAATAGTCTTGCAGGAGATCCAAGAAAAATACATATGGAAACAAAAGAGTTTTACTTTAATTACCTTTCAAAGCCTCACGAATGACAATATCATCTTAACTTGCTTAACAGGTAAAAATCAACTATCATTGACACCCCATGTCATTTCCAGAGCAGGACACCTTGCCTGCATTGGAAATCCTCCTTCACCTTAGGGAAAGAGGAAATGAGGTTGGGTTGTATCTCAGCATCCTCAAGTCAGCTTGTACAAGGTTCCCTGATTGGTCTCTTCATTTTGCATTGTGATTAGAGCATACAAGAAAAGGGGATGATTATCTAGGACTCTCTAACAGAGTCCCCTTCATCTTCAAAACCATGGAGATGCCCACACCTAGAGAGTTTTGGCAGGGGCAGGCACAAGACATGAGCTCACAGCTTGAACAGCAAAATATTTGCATTAGGTTATGAATGGCAGCCATCCCATTCAAAAGGTTTCTTGCTCCCATGTAGAAAAATTGATCGGAGTGAACACATCCATATTCTTTTCACACTGATAAAGAACAAGTGAGCACCAGAGCTAAACAAAGGAAGGCAGCTTCTTTCATGTTAAGCACTAAAATGCTCATAGAGCACAATCCTTATTTTATTTCAGATGCTCATTAGGGAAAACTTAAAGAAAACTTGTTAAAGAAAATACATTCACACTTAATATTAAAGACATACAAGATGCACCGAGACACTGACAGAATATAGTTTAAAACACTGCATTCAGAAGGAGGAAATAACAGTGAGTAGGTGGATCAGAACCACATGTTGCCAGGCTTTGAATTTCATACTCATATCCTCCCCGCCTCCTTCTCCCCAGTCAAAGGACGGAAAGAAAAAAATAAAAATAAAGAAAGGAATCATTATGTTCATAATTCAGTGAACGACTTTAATGCAAGTCTGGCTACTGCACTGTACTGTAAAGATCACTGCATGCATACCTTTTCCTCTGAGTGCCACTGCTGACCAGTAAGTTTGGTTGCTGTGGGCCCTGACTATGCAGGAGGAAAGTGTCTATGCTTGGCACGGTGGCTGATGCCTCCTCACTTACTTTAGGGCTGCCGATCTTGCTCTTTCCCAGCTTGCCTTTGCTGCGCCGCGACTGCTCGTGGTCGAACTCTAAATCCTCCAGTCGCTGGGTCAGGGCAAGCTTTTGCTGGATAGCCATGCGCAGCAGAGAGTTCAGGGTCTTCTTCTCATCCTCTGCAGCCGCCAGCTGCCTCTGCATCTCATCCAGCTGTGTGACGTACTCATCACACCTGCAGAAAAACAGGGCAGAGATCTGGGGAAGCAGCCCAAGGACCGACTCTACCTGTGAGCACATTCCCAGGCTTCTGTTACAGAGCCAGACTCAGATCCCCGCTTTTGCTGCCCCTAATCCTGGCACCAGGCAGCCTGAATTCTTCTGTTCCCTTCTGAATCAATTTGGACTTGGATCTGAATGTTCCATTCAGCAAGAATGGAACTTCCCATTCAGCAAGACAACCTGTGCCTATATTAACATAGTCTATGACAATGTAACGTGTTTCTGATGCACATAAAAAGCAATTGGAGGGGAGGTATGGGATTACTTCCAGTTCAGACCACAAATAACAAATGTGGGTGCTGCTTCTACCAGTAAGTAACCACAGATAATAATGCTACCAATTACAAAATACTATTTTCCACAGGCAGTAATATCCGCTTCAAGAGAGTATTACAAAAAAAAGACTGCAAGCAGTTTGAACACTTGACACATCAGATTTTGTGAAATGAGAAACCTTCCATTATTTACCCTTGTTAACCACTTATTACCATGATTACCATTAGTTACCACTGATTAAAAGGATACTATTAGGAAACCCCACACCTGGAAGATATTTCACATTTACTGTTCAATCTCTTGGAGGTGTGTTCATCGCTACTCCTTTTTAATCCTCAGCCTTTTTTACCCACATGAAAAATTATCTTTTCATTTGCTTTAGGTCTCTGAGAACTAAAACCACTATTCTTATGATTTTGTTCCGCTTAACACCAAGTTCAATCTATTTCTGCTTTTAACAAAACTTCCCAAAGTTAACAGGAAAAGCAAAACATTTCAAAATTGTCTTAAAACACTTTTTGAAGTGAAATAGCCTCAGTTTGATAGCAATAGACCATCTAATCAGTAAGCACCAAGAGCAATAAAACTAAATGTATTCCAGCAGTAAGATGCTTCACAGACAGCAGTACTGCCTGACCATCAGACATTTGTGGAAACACCCAAGGATTTTTCATGTTGAATGATGCAGCTTTCACCAGATCTCCTTCCCACAAGATCTGGGTGAATCAAAATAACTTTGCTGTGTAATTGCAATTGTGTAATGGATGAGGATGTAATTTTATCAGTATCACTTACAGGAAGCAAGCATAGAAAACTGTTTTAGTCTTCCTTATCAAAATGGGTGATGCAATAAACTTGAATTATTGCAAACTGAGGGATGAAAGTAATTTCTCTGAAATTTTAATCTTCCCCTTGGGAAACAGAACCAAAGTATACTAGAAAATGTGTAGTTAGTTATTCTTCACACACAAATACTTACATAAATATTGCACTTCCCTTTTGAACAATTCAGGCACTGCAAGCAAAATTACTGTGTCAGATACAGCTTCATCTACCATTTCAGTATTATCTTTCTTCTACAGGACCTTAATAAGCATGACTCTTGCTACCCAAGCCTTGAGGAAAAGAGCTACTTATGAAATGCCAGCTGGATTAGAGCCAACATGTACACCTATTTCTGCTCCAGGCTGTGAGGTGCATGTTGATGCTTAAGTCAGTTTCCTTGACAGAGACATGAAATCAGCATTCTGAATATTATATCCTATTTCAAATTAATTTACTTTAATGTCTCATAATTGTAACCAGATGGGTCTTGTATCCTTGTCCTTTATTCTCTGCTGCTTTCCTCTTTGTCCAAGAGACCTCATTTGTTTCCAAACATGTTTCCTGTTGAAAATTTTTAGATGTAACACCTGCAGCAACTCCTGTGGCACACGACCACTAGAGGAATGAATTACCTTCCATTAATATGCCAGTACATCAGTTTTGGTTTTGGAAAAAGACTGATTTTTCTCAGGCATCAGAAGGTGGTTTTGGTATTTGCGCATCTGATTTGTAAAACAGCCCAACCGAATCATTAAGAAACACATGCCATGAAGGTGGATATTCCTAATGCAGTCTTTGATGAACTTGCTATAAACTATATCAAGCTGTCTTGAGAAATCTGCATATACTAGATGCTATTAGCTGGTCTCATACTTGAGACAACACCAGTCTCATGAGTACATTTTCCAGTTGTTCTGATTAATTACATGTCCTCATGTCCTTCCTAGAAGTGTCCCAATAAGTGCAAGCCCACTTTTTTTTTTTTTTTTGAGAAAGTTTAAAAGAAAGGTTAAACCTAAATCATGCAAGTAAAGGCCTCAATTAACTTTAGAAACTGCTGAATTACCAGCCTCAGATCTCCTGGAATTTTGCAGCAGAGAAGGTTATTCTGTGTAGTGGGAGGTAACAACTGCCTGCAGCCACAGCATTTCCCTTCACTGAGATATTTCCAGCTATGTGCAAGTGTGGGATAAAAGGAGAAGTGTTTCCAACTAAAAAATAAAAAAGCATTGCACACATCTATATTGCCTTTCACCCACACATTTGATAAACATTCATCAAGTCTCACAGAAGGAAGAAAAAGGTTAAGGATCTCCTAAGAGAAAAGGGTAAAGAGCTCCTAGGAAAGATGACTTCTGGCATGGCAGAGACCATTGCAGGGCTGCAGGATACTCCAGGGCTCTGAATGGGTGTTTCAGGAGGGTTCAAATGGTGATAGCAAAATTTATGTTATGTCCTCCTGAGTCAGAATTCTTCCCTAATTTCCCTCTTGCCCCAGGACAGGTTGTAAGCTGCAAGTGACTATTAAATAAACAGCACTGTTTTCTTGCTGTCTGCTGGTGTACTTAGAGCAAAAGTCAAGGTTTCACCTATTTTTCATTTCTCTCATCTCAGAATGCAAGCAGACAGACACATAAGCCCACTTATTTTTTATGAACTGATCCAAGAAGCTTATATAGGATTTTGAGGGATTTCTGGTTCCATCTATCCCTCTCGTCTAGGAACATAAACCAAATACCAAATCAGGCTTATGTGTAATTTAGGTAACATAAATCATAGCAGAGCTTGAGCTAAAACCCAGTGACACTGACAGTGACAGGTCTCTGCTCTAACTAGATAATCATAATTCTCTTCTGTTCAAAAATGTTTTCTCAGCTCCAGCATCTGTTCAATCTTCCTACTCAGTCTCTTCAGCACACATTTTTCTTTTAAAATTATCATAAGAAAATATTTTGATGGATAAAGAATAAAATCCATCCATGCAGTGTCAGGACTATGGCAATATTTCCTGCTCTCTCCTGTTACACATCTCAATTTAGGCTGGCAAAGTAAGCAGACTCAGTGAAGTTTGCTTCCTGAATAGCTTAAGGAACCTGTTTAAAAGTAGTTCCTTCTATCCTTCAGCTCAGGACTTCCTCTCTCAGGACAACACCTCCTCTAGATTGGAAAACTAATGTTTTAAATAATTATTTATTGTTCCTCTGGATAAGTGCTGCTCACTGCTTCACAAACACAAACCACTCTTATCCTGGATCAGAACTCAGGGTGAGAGTGAGGGGAAACAACAGGAGGGGCAGGAAAGGTTTCTTTGGGAATTCCTCATTTTCTCTGGGAATACCAGAAGCAGCCCATGACAAAATAAGCAGGTTAAAGGCTGCACATGGCACTGGTATCAAACTTCAGCTCTGTATTGCCAATCCCTTGAATCCCACAAAAGAGGTTTTATATGCTGTAGCTTTCTTTTTCTAAGAGAGGTGTTCCAGGAAATATTTTTGACAGGTCTGAAGCATATAAATCTCAGAAAGGGATCACAAGGCTAATGAAAGAGGAAGGAGGAAGCTGCAGAGATCAGAATGTCAGAGATTTTTGGATCAAATAAGCTGCTCCAAAAAGAAAAAGGGCAAAAGTAGAGGGACAAGCAGGACAGAATGACTTCTGAGACAAAGAACTGAAAAAAGAGCTTAAGGAGTGAAGGATGAACAAGTGTCAGGAAAAACACAGAAAAAGAAGGCTCCTGCTTTCTGCACAGGGGAGCTTTGGAGGGAAGTGTCAACTTTGCTGTTCAGACCAGAAACAGAAGTGCTGTGGCTCTCCTTAGGACTTGTGCTATGACCTTTATCCAGTGTATTTGAGGAAGGAAATACACAGTTCCATACAACACCAGATGAACATCCACTTGGGGGCCAAAATGATGCTTTATGGAAAGAGAAAGGATATTGTTCTATCAAACAGTATAAGCAACCATTTTCAGATCTATAATACAACTCTACTATCAGAAGGATGATCGCCCTATGGTACAAATTCAGGAATAATTACCATGTGATGCACTATAACCATGGAAACCAGTGTTTTATTCAACTAAAGACTAAACAATTGCTTTTTTATGCAGAGGGTTGCTACTGCATCTAATGTTACTGCACAAAAATCTTAGAGCCTTGTATTTCCAAACAGATTTCTCCTCTTCAAAAGACTTGTAGAATATATCAACTCTCTGTCATTTAAACAAATGCTCTTCCAAATGGACTATTTGGAATGAGTCAATGATTTCACCATTTAGGAAGATTGATTTAATTATAAAGGCCATTAAACTCCATGCTAGGGAAGAAAAATGAATATTTTACAACAGAAAAATCTATAGGAGTATAATGATGTGGAAGATCTTGCAGTGAATAATTTTTTATAACTGTGCTCAGAGAATACTGGGCAAAACTTAGGATGTCAAGGGCAGGGACGTGTCCCATAGGCCATACATTGAGTGTTTAATCACTACTACATGGACTTTACCAACAGCAGTAAATTCTTGGGGCAGGATTTATTGCTACTAACATTAGAAATTTTTAAACTAAAAATGTGTAACTCAGCAGGTCACAGAGACGCCTTTTATAGCTCATAGAAGAGGCACAGAAGTTTCTTTACATCCTACACACAAGACATCTAGAAAAGACACCTGGATGAGTGGCATCACTGAAGCCTAATTCTCGTGGAGGGGATGCTGCTGCTTCCCATCAGTTCCAGGATCTCCAGTTGCAGACCCAACTGAAGTCTGCACTCAGGATGCCGAAACTGGGTAAGGAGCAGTCAGTACACCTACAATCTAACATTCCCTTTAACTTCTAAAGCTTTGAAAACTACTTTTACCTCATATATTGATGATTTATGGCCCATTCAAGACCCTTGTTTTGCTTTATGCTCACGAGGCCACTCCTCTGCTCCGGAGTTACCTGCCTTCCACGAGCTCTTACAGAGTTAGAACATTCCTGTGTCTCCTAGAGTAAGAAGCTTGCACAGAAAGGTCAACACATGCATTTCCAACACACACACACACACAACTCTCCTTTGTGGAAGAAAACCTTTAGATGCCAATGAAATCAATCAGGCTACCTTGGTTCACACCACCTGCTGAGCTGGGTCTTCGTTTCCATTATGTCGCTACACGCGCTCCTCTGACGAAGGACCTATGATGAATTTGTACACAGCACCAATGTAATGACATATAAATGCCCCTTTTCTCCTTCCTTCCCACTTCTCCCAGCTGCTGCTGCCACTGTCACCAAGCAAAAAAGCACCTTAGAAGGCTGGAAGTGGTGAGATGTCACTGCCAGCAGCACTGAAGAGATGTTGGCAGAAGGCACAAAGATATCTTATCATTTATGGACTGAAGTACAAACAAGAAATCTGTACTGTGTTTGACCAGAAGAGGGAGGAAAAAAAGTATTTCTGTATTTCCAAAATAAGAATTTATTTATTAAAATGCTGGAGCTTTAAAAAAAAAATATTTGTAGGTAACCTTTTATAAAGCAGCTAAGATGAAAAGACACAGTCTTAAGCTGTGGCAGGGGAGGTCTAGGTGGTCATTGGGAAGAATTTCTTCACAAAAAGAGCTATCAGACATTGGAGTGAACTGCCCAGGGAGGTGGTGGAATCACATCCCTGGGGGTGTTTAAGGAAAGCCTGGACTTGACTCAGTGCCATGGTCTGGATCACAAGGTCTTGTTGGGTCATGGGCTCATAGACTCAATCTCAGAAGTATTTTCCAACCTAGTTGATTCTGTGATTCTGTGTAAAACCAAAAGCTCTTCTGAAGAAGATGTGGGAGAAGGAAAGATGAAAGTTGATTAATTACTGTCCTGCCAGCAGGAACTATGTTACAGAAGGTAAGTGAAGCTTTTATCCTGTGAAGGAGAAGATAATAAATTGAAACATCACAGTGGAAGAAAATAAGAATTTATGCTGGAGTGGGAAATTACAGCGGCCTTACAATTATTAGCACTGGATTATAGCATAGGCTGGTTGATTAAATAGATTTTACTACTGGTAAGTAATAAATCTCACTGTAATGAAAATGTGGGGTTCTGAAGATCATCATTAACCATATGACAGCTTTACATGGCAGAATCACTGTGTACTTCTGAATGGGAAAATCAGCCACATAAATCCACTATTTGATTTCCACTTTAAAAAACCCTATAAATGCAAATATTCTGTAGGCATATACTGTCATTTATAACACTTTACTCAAGGTTGTATTGACATTGCTATTCTTCAGCTTTATTTTCCAAGACACGCATCTCAGCAGCACTTGAAAGCCTGCAAGTTTTGCACAGTGTGCATTCTAGGACTCATTCACCTTCATCCAAGAAACCCCTGACCATGCAGAAAATAATTTCTCTATCCTCCTAAGCACCCAACACACACAGCTAAGTATGTTCTCACTTAGCACACACCTGTTTGCAGTGCTGACCCAGATGGTGACACCTTTCCCTTACCTGGTTGCAAACATTGCTCTCAAGGATGAGAAGGTTGCTGCATCTTCTTTCAGAGCCTTGAGTTCATTCCGTAGCTTGGTCATGGTCTCAGTCACCATTGCTTTTTCATTTTCATATTTGTTCTTCAAGTTGGCCAGTGCCACTTCAGCTGTCTGAAAATACAAACAAGGATAGTGCTTATGAGACAGAGATCTGAGAACAGCTAAAATCCCATGCCTGATTTTGGTTTTGATGTCCTTCATTCACACAATAAAAGATGTGTGTAAGTTGTACTCCATGAAAGCAGGAAAAGGAGAAAGGAGCTGAAAGGACAAAGCCCATTTCAATGGCAACTGGCAACAACTCAGCACCTCAAGTATCTCTGCAAAACTGTGGAGCTGTATGTGGAGGGCTCAGGCAAGTGAGTAAACTTACTACAGGAGCTGCTACCACCTTGTTTGAGCTGCAATAAACATCCAAGTGTGTCCCCTGGCGCTTTGCAAACAGGACACAGAGCACATGAGGCTCAGCCTCTGCAGCCAAGTTGTGAATCACCGTATTCGGCCTCAAGCCTCCTGCTGGCTGAGGCTTTCCTTGGACACAGGGATGGCCAGGACCTGGCAGCTTGATTTGTGCCTCAAAACTGGCAATGTTCACTGCTGTGCAAACCAGCATTATTTTAGCAGTTTTAATCACCAAAAAAAAAAAAAAAAAAAAAGAAAAAAAGAATAAAAGAATAAAATTACAATTTGCAATAAAAAAAAATTACAAATTGCAAATTACAGTTTTCATTTAACAGGAAAGCAAAGCTTTGTATTTGTCCCATTCCTAAATTTTTGCTGCACACTTCTTTCTTTTTTCAGTTTCACCCATTAAATTCCTTTAATTTACTACTGTACCGTTTTTAATAGTTACATTTGTCTTATGTCTTCAAGACTTGAACATTCTGCATTACCTATGAATTTAGAATAATTTTGACGCATTCAAAATAGATAGTTTTATAGAGGCTTTGAATGAAATGAAGAAAAAGTTGCTTCCTTTTACATTTATTCAGAGGGTGTTATGGTTGTTTTTTGCATTTCATTTAGTGCATAAGTTGCAGCAATTCGTACAGGCAATCAATTTCCTCTGTTGATCTTATGAGCTCTTGAGCCACCACCAGGGGAGAGAAGGTGAGAAGAACATTAGGTTAAAGTAACTAGCAACAGCAACAGGACAAAAGATGGCAATGACCAAACAGCTGGAAACCTATTTCAAACCCAGTTTTCCAAAAATCCATACATTTCCCACTAACAAGGTCTCTTAACAAAAGGGCACATCAGAATCTCCTATAAATTACAACTTTATTCATTTGTGTCTTGTTAAATAACAGCTTTAAAATAATTAATTTTTTAATTGCATACTCACCAATAATATTTTCTTACTTTCACACCAATTTACATTAAGAAAACAGATTTTTAAAGGGCACTAGTAACCACCTATCGTTTTAAATATATGTGTTTTTCCAATCCAGATTTGAAGTCATCAGCAATACATGTTAAAATTATCAATCACTTAGGGATCTATTTAAATCAATTCTGCTTTTTTCAACCTTGCTGATATATGCTTTGGTGCAGTGTAGGATGGTGAACACCAGCCTATGTCTTAGCAGGATAAGGCAGAAATAATCAGCTTTTTGTCTGTTTTCAGCTGTGACCAAAAATGTGCACTCATAAATTACAGTAATTTACACATCACTGAAACTGTGCACCATGATCAGACAGACCATGATTCCCATGTTTTAGTTTGGATGCCAGGGTAAGTTAACAGATGTGCAACACTAGAAGATGAAAATATAGTTTGCTTGGTGAATAAAAGTAACAGAGGAAGGACTGTGTCAAATCTTGTAACATTTTTTTCTTCCTATTCAAGTTTCCTATAAAACAACATAGAGAAAACAAAGCATAAGTTTCAAATCCTATGGGAAATACTTCATGTCTCTCCATGCACCAGCCAAGATGCTTGAGGATCTCCCTCCTGAAAGTCTCCTAAGTGAAGAACAAATGGGCACAAGGGCTCTGCTAGAGAAGCAAATAAAACAAAAACAAAAACAAAACAAAAAAAAAAGTAGGTTTATTAGAAAAACAAAGAAGGGGAGCAGAAGCTGAGGAAGCTTCTCTTGGAAATCTGGGGAGCCTGAAGAGACAGGAAACTTGCCTGAATCCTGAGAACACCCTGAAGCCTGAATATGTAATGGAGAGGGAGACAGGGGATAGAAGAGGAACTCAGCCTCCATCTACCAGAGACACTCAGAGTGTCTGGTCACCTCAGCTGGACTGTCACACTGTGCCAAACTAACAGGGACAAAAGGAACTGAAGACACAGCTTCATGTTACTCCTCCAGGGCCAGCTCTTGTTGAAATTATTTCTATTTGTTCCCCATCTCAGTCAATCCCCAAAATTGTACCCATTGAGCCATATATGCCTGGTTATGCCTGGTGCCAGTAGGATAATCTAGATTTAGGGAATCTAGAACAGTGTATACAGAGCATTCTCTGAAAGGAAGGATGGGACAAAAAAGAGCCTTAATCTCCAAGTGGTGGGTGCCACAAGGAAACAGATGCCAGGTCCTGGCATTTTTTAAAGCTGTGGTTAAAAAAAAAATAATCAAAAAAAATCAGAGAATTTTTTTCCACATAAAAATGCAATCTCACAACACACAAGTAGATGGGGAGCACAAGAAAAAAGATGAAAACACTGGAAAAAAGCATGAATATTCTTCAGTGAAGTAAATAATCCAATAAGACAGCAGAGGTGCTCATGACACTCTCTCGTCAGACCAGTCATGCTGAGGAGCTGGGCAAGTGAAGTCCCCAGGCTCTGAGCCAGCCACCTGCAGACATGAGATTGAGATTGATGGCTCACTGTGCCTTTACTGTGGAGAAGAAGTCACCTGGAATTGACAGCAACGCCAGGAGAGAGCAGAGAGCTCCAAGGCCTGGACTTCAGCGGGGTGTGAAATATCAGTGAGGAAAAGAGAGCTGGGGACCACACAGAGCTCAGCTCCCTCCCCATCCCCAAAGCCCAGCCTGGAGGTGAAATGGCTGAGGTCAGCACACACCTGAGCCCAGGACCTCAAGCACTGCCAGAACTAACAGGGGCCCTTCCATCCTCCTCTGTATCCTTACACAAGAGATGTTTGCCCAAACTCAGCCCAAAGGCTGCCATCTTTGCTCTGAACTCTGTGAACAGACCTCATTTTCTAACACACCTTTGTATCCCATTTACTTTTTATCAGCAGTGTGAGAAGCAGATAATTTAAAATAATTGTTAATAAATATTAAGTCCTACACTGGTAGGATTTTTATGTCACAAAATGTCAAAAAGCAGAAAACTAGCCTGTATTTTTAGAGCAGAAGTTGTACCTTGACTTTTCATCAAGCCTCTCTTTCACAGCAGAAATTCTACTGTGTTCTGTCCATATAGTATCAGCATTAGTTTATAGATAAAATTCTGTATGTCTGGGGTTATCAAGGTATTTTTTTCTGAAGGACTTTCATGGGTATTGCAGTTATGGAAGCTGCAGACACCACAGTTTATTAACTAATGCAGACATGAAGGTCTTGCTGACTCAATTTTGCCTCATTAAAATATTTACCTATGAAAACAACTGATCAGCTTTCCATCAGAACTTCAGGGTGTTAAATTCCCCTCACAGGCAGCTTTGCTTTCTGATTAGAAATCAAAATCAAACCCATTATTGAACCAGTCCTAAAAATTACTGCATCATTAATTTGATTTTACTTTCTCATTTATGCTATTGTTAATGTTTATTCCACCACTCAGGTGCAGACACAGTAATTTGGGCTATGAACAAATGGATACATAAATCAAGACAGGGTAAGCAAGCAAGCCAGCAAGATCGATGTGCCTTGCTTTCTTGGGCTATTGATTTAATAATCCATTTTCATGGACTTAGGTTTGCACCTTCTTACACCAAATCTTGCTCTCTTTTTCTGACCAGAGCTTTGTGAAAATAAAATATTATTTCTAAATAATATTTATTTATAAAATAAGAATGCTTATTTGCAAATACTACTATTTGCAACACTACATACCAACTGTGTTTCCCTAGTTAAGGATGGTTTTTTTACTAAAGTTTTTAGTAAAGTCCAAAATACCAGACCTAAGGAAGGGCCCCATAAGGGAAAAACAACCCCAGCTTTTGCTGCTTAGAAATTTACTCTTTTGAAGGGGAAGACCTCAAGAGAATAAATCTTAACTCCTGTTTTTTTGAACATGAATCAAAACATGTATTTGGGTTCTGGGATACACCCACCACTTGAGGCTGGCACATAATGAATGACTCTTCCCCTCTCCAACATTAAATTTCTCCTTCCCTTTACATTATTATGTCTTTTAGCTTGAAAGTTTGAGGAAGTTGATATCAGGTTTGCATGAACAAGTATTGCAAGTTTCTGTACCCAGCTGTATAGTTACCAATATCTATGCTGCTATCTAATAAATAAAAGATTAGTTAATAGCAGCTCCTTAGTCAGCAAATCCATCTTTTCCATTTCAGTGAGCATGCCTTAGGATAATGCATTATTTCTGACAGCAATAAAAGAGTGAGACTGAGATATATCTTCTGGCAGCAGCAAAAAACAAATGATAGCTCTATGCTAATGGGGAAAATCTTTAATTCGGAATCACAGAATGTATACCCACATACATCAATTCCATCTAAATTACATTTTAATTACATGGAAAATCTACATATAATTGCTCAGAGCTATTATTGCTTAGCTAGAGATGGCATTTAATTACTTCAGTTAATATTTAACACGTGTTGTATCAGAGAGGGGGGGAATACTATAAAAGACTCAATATATGATGAAATATGGCTGCAATTTAAAAATCCCCAGTACCCTATGCAGTTACAGATACAATTTCAAGTTTAATTGATTGGTGTAACTTCAGAATAGTTGACTATTGGGAATTTTAACACTGAAATCCTATCACTGTCAGCAGCTAACAGAGTGCCAAGCTGTTAACCAGGATTCAAGCCCCCATGTGGTGATCACTGCACTGTTTTCAGATGGGGAAAGTGCCAGGCAACCTAGAACAAAACCACTGCCACTGCAGCCTTTTGCATTCAGATTTAATTCTGGGCAAATGGAGATGCATCAAAGTAAATAAAACTATCTGCATGTTTAAATTTAGATTTCTTTACAGTGTTTTCAAACCTGGAATCTAATGGATGCCGAGGGCTTGGTAGATATACTATGCAAAGAAAATTGACAGTACTTTTGAAAAACACAGCAATAAGATGGATTTCTTTTGGCATTTGATATGAAGTACTATAATTTTGGCTTCTTTTCATTGGTGAAACATCAAAAATAAAGTGGTTGGATGAATTCCTCTTAAGATTTGAAAAAAAAAAAACAACTTGAACTAATTCCTTGAAGATTTTTATTTTCCTAAAGAGAAGAGCATACCACTGAGAGCCTCTCCAGGGATGTTCTGTTTTGTTTTCCAACCAACAGTTTGTGGTAACAACAGCAGCATGCCTGGGCTGGTCCCTGCTTACACCTCTGATGAGTGAATGGTGGGTGCTGAGAAAAGCAGAACTGAAGTGTTTAAAGAGGAGGCTGGGAGGGGAGGGAACACAAAGGTGTGTCCTTGCTGTGAGTGAGTGAGAGGCTAAATAACCTGTAAAACCTCTCCTCCATAATACCCCTGGGAAAGCTTGTAAGTGACCTGTATAAATAACACTTTCCTGTTAGTGTGTTAGAAGCACCTTACCTGCTTGTTGGCTTTCAGCACCGCCCTCAAGGTCGCGATCTGCTCTCGCTTTGTACTCAGGAGTGACTTGAGCTTCAGGATCTCCTCCATTAAGGCCTCCTTGTCCTTGTCGATCATGGGCGCCAGCTCGCGGGCCGCGGCCCGCTGGCGCGACAGCTGCAGCGACCGGTCCACAGCCTTCTGCAAGTGCTTGATTTGGTCCCTTATTATGGCATTGAGGTTGTAGATGTTCATAGGCTCCTTGCGGATGTCACTGGTGTCAGACACGGGGGAGGAAGGAGGGGCTGTGATGACAGGAGAAATGGAAGGTGTTTTTGTGGGGCTCTGCTCCTTGCCGGGCTCCGCGGCCTCTTTCGTCACCTGCTCGGTCGGGGTCCTGGCTTCGACGGGCGATGCCACCCCCCGCCTGGCAAGGCGTGGGGAAAGGAGACCTCGAGGGTCATCGGGCCCCTTCAGGCTCCCGCTGCGGGTCACCCTGCTCTGCCTGTAATAGTCCAACATGACCCTGTTGGGCGTCTCGTTGTTGCACAGGCAGACGTGGTGGTAGAGCTGAGCCAGCTCCTCACTAAATGTCACCAGCTCATCCTGGGCAGTGTTAAGGGTATTGTGGTTTTCATTTGCTATGCTTGTCATCCTTTGTAACTCCTTCTCCATGTGGACCATTTTTTCCTGGCTTTCCTTGGTCGACTTCTCCAGGCTTGTCACCTGCTCGTCATACGTCTGGATTCTGCTCTCATACTTGGCCTTCTCTTCAGTGTAGTTTTCCACATACTTATTATATTTCTCCTTTAAGGCTTTGATTTCTGCTTTAAGGTCTATCACCTCAGTAACAGCTACTTTGTATTTACATTCCAGGATCTCCAAGCCATTGATGTCCACTTCGTAGTCGTGCGCCTCCTCGCCGGAATCTCGGCCCTTCTCACAGTCAAGCTCAACCTTCAGCTCCTTGTTGCTCTGCAGGCCCCTCATGGCGTTGACGTGCTCCGTGAGCCTGTGCACGCGCTCGTGCTGCTCTGTCAGGGCTCCCTTGGTGTGCTCCAGCTGCGTCTGAGACTCCTGGAGGTTGGCCAGGAGAATGGCCTTCTCCCTCTCCACCTGCAACAGAGTCAGAGTGAGAAACCCAGGATCACATCCTACCCATGCTGAGCACCAAACTCTGCAGTCCCAGTCACCTCTTCCACCCCACCACTGCCTGCAGCTTGAGGGCTTCTGAGAGATTTTAGCCATGTACACCTAAAACATAAAATTAATTTATAGAGCACTGTGTAACTCTCAGAGGTTTAAGAAGTCCCAGGCTCTGTTACAACCTCCAATACCACTAGATCACAATTTTATATGTTGCCCACTGAATAATTACCAAGTGCCCAAGCACTGTCTCATCAGCTAGAGTGATGATACAAGATTTATTAGGACATATGTTCCCTGAACATAGAAACTGCATCACTGTCAGCTATAAGCCATTTCTCAATACAGCTTGAATTTATATTTCCCTTTAACAGTTCTACCAATCTTTCACAATATTCATTTGTATCTTTGAACTGCTGCACACTTTCATTAAGGCAAATGCAGTAAAAAACTAGCTGTGCACATTTCCACAGATTGAATAATCTACCCTGTGGAAATGTAGCACAGATCACACAGTTAACACTGAGCACAGGCAACTCCCAGGACTGCCCATCCCCAGCACTTATCTGTAAGCAAAATCCATCTGTTTAAATTCAAGCCAGAAAAAGTAGGACTTGTAGTGCAACTAACAAGCCACTGGTTGTGACCTAGTAAGTTTCTTTCCAAATATCCACATAGAAAAGTGGACAACAGAACAATTGAACAACAGAAGACATCATGAAGGACACCTCTAGAAGTTTTAACGCACAGCAATTTTAAAGCAAGTGAACAAGACAAACCTACAAGTTTGATTTGCTCAGGTATTTGCTACTCATCATAACATCCCTGAAAGACTTCCAAGTTTTACGTGTAATGCTCCAACTTTTTCCTGTGCCTTTGTCCTGTTCTGAGGTGTCAACTGGGAAGCAGAGGAATGCTCACAGAGGTAAGATCCTTCTTCCTGTCATGACTTCTACAATAAGACCCTGAGCCTACCAGGTTTATTGATCCTCTCTTCCCCTGTTGCAGTATCTCATTCAGCACATGCAGTAAAAATGGCACTTCCCTTCATAAGTGCTGGAATTATTAATTCTGAGAATTGAAAGTTTTCAATTATGAAGAAACCTTAAAAAAGAAAAAAGAAGTAAACACAAACTTTCCTTTCCTATCAGTAGTATAGGAAGAGAATCCAATTAGCCACCACAAAACTTAGTAAAGGAAAAGCCTTTGAGAAACTGAGAAGGTATTAATATCCTCTCACAAAGTTAAAAAACCAGTGCCAAACCTCATCATTATTTTATGATCCAGGAAGAGTTTCTCTCTTTAGATATGAAGTGTTCCACTTTTGGCACTACATCATCAGTGCAGCAGAGGACAGCCAAGAACTACAAGTATTTTGGCATCCTTCTTCACTTTTCCTTCCCCCAGTATGTCTGCCAACCTAACTGTTGTTCAGCCCCCATGTCAGCCCACTCTTGCTGAGAAAATCCAAAAAAGGGTAAACTTCCCTTTTGCCAAATGCATCTTCTTAAAAGTGACCACTTTCTATAGATCTCCTGGTCAGGCCTGTCCTGGGGACCCTCCGAGATCAACGAAGCAGGAGTCTCTTTACCAGCTTTAATCTTTTTTTTCACCAAGCTGCCTGCCCCAGGTCTGCTTTCCCTAGAAACCTTCAGCTGAACTCCAGTTGTTACCACTTGGTATCTCAGGCTTCAGTGTTAGCTACACTGCCCTCAGCAGATGAAGGTATTTATTCCTTCAGGCTGGTAAGGTGAGCTATGCATATGCACAAAAAAATCTGGGTTTTGGCTAATTAAAGGATCTTCTAACCTTATAGTGAGAAATTGTAGTGATATTAAAGAACCATATATTACACACCAAGGGCAGTTGGATTATTAAAGTGTATGGGTCCACTGTGGGCATGTTCACAACAAAGAAGCCAATTCACTGTATATTGTACCCATGTAAATATAAATATTTATTTTTAATAATATTTATTATAATAAAGCCTTTCCTTTGAGAAAACACCTGTGTGTTAAAGCAGCACAGTGATTCAGTGCCTGCTTAAATTAAGCAGACAGAATTGATCCTGCAGGACTACTGATCTGAGCCATTATACCCTATCATGAAGAAAAACTGTAGCAGAGCTAATTTGGATCTTGATGATAATTTCGCTTCTGAACATAAACGTGTTCTGGAAACACTCATTTCAAACAGAAAGGATTCTTTCCAAAGAAAACATTTTAAACTTTTAAAACCCATATATCAACTTGCACAGCAAGCAAAAGGAAATTCACAGATCTCTCAATTTTATTCATTCTGGATCAGCAATAATGGATTAAGCTAATCCCCTTCTGTTTAAAACCATAAATACATGCTCCTACTGCCAAGGGAAAAACCCCAAAGCTCCAGCTCAGTCCTGAGCACACCTTTTGCATATTAATGACTCTGCTGTTCCCAAATACAGTAATAATATTTCCTGTTCTAGACAGTACTATATTCTTATTTCCACCACAGCAAACTTATGGCAATTCCAGGTATTTTGCAGCCCAGTTGGTGCAATTTTTTGACACTGGAATTGGTAGCTGCAGTATGGATTTTTATCATCTTAAAATGAAAATAAAAGCAATTCAAAAGTAGCTGTCTCCGATTTTGCGGCACATCCTTCCCTTCAGAGATTTCAGCTTGAGGAGATTTCCCTCCCAATTTGCATCTATAGCTTGCAATTATGGAAAGCAATTTAACCATAGCCATTTATTTCTTTTCCTTTTTTTTCAACAACATCAGAATTTCAGTGAACAATTCCTGGGGGAGACTGGAACAAATTAACAGGAGAACTCATCTCAAGAACCCTGAATCTCAGCTATAGCATATTTGCCACAAAAGTACAAGGCAGCTGAAGAGGAGTGTCAGAAACTGAGCTGGAGGGACTTTTTATTTTTCTGCCTTTTTAAAGAGAATTTTATCTAAAGTTTTCCAAATATGATTGTGGCCTCAGAAAAAAGGAAAGCATGACCATGGGAAGAAACGAAGACTTCAAGGATGCGATAAAGAATTTTTTCCACTGGACAACAAACAGGAAGGAAGAGCACAAAGGCCTGTGCTTTTCTAAGAAAATCTCAGAATATGAAATTTTTCAGCAGGACATTTGTTACACAGCAGATATATACATGGAACAGGAATAGGTGCAATTAAATGTCTCCAAGGACCAGCACAGCCCATGAAACAGCAGCATTCAAAAGCTGTAGAAAGAATTCTATTTGTCATGCTATTTCAGAGAAGTCTTCTTTATGAGACAGAGGAGCAAAAATAATTTGCCAGACACCCTTACAAAATGGCAAATCTGAACTTTACTTTTATCCTAAAAAGGAACCTGATGTCCTATAGCCATTAAAATAGTCCCCAATAAATGATCAGCTCCTTCAGAAACTCTGTCCTAGTGCAGCCTCTTCACAGCAAACAGGAGGAACTCACACCAAATATTGAGATACAGCTGAATGAACACCATATGGCAAAGACACTGTAGAGGGGAAAAAAAATCCAATTTTGCTGATGATTTACCTTTTGTCAGCTTTTAAACCTGATTAAGTCTCACATCTACCACATGGAAAACTTTTGGCCGAATTTTTCACATTTAATCTGTATGATCCAAATTTAATTTGTGTGATGTGAAATGATGTAACTCAACCGAGAAGGAGATCATTTTGTAAAATATCAGCATTTTGCAGTGACTCTTTATGGTATCTAAAGGAATCAGGCTCTCACTGATGTCTAGTCTGTCTTTTTAAACCATGAATCTTTTAACAGGATGTAAATGCCAAACAATGGTGGCCACCATTGGCACAGATGTGCTGGGGCCCAGCACCAAAAAATGCTATGACCAAAAATAGTTATAATTTCTTTTATAGGGTCCTAAGTTTGTTCCTAGTGACTGTGAGAAGGCTGCTTCTTTGTTTAAGAGATACAAGTTTTTAACTCAGAGAAGATCAAGACAATTGATCCTTCAAGCAGAAGTTTGCTAACTCATCATGCTCAGCACTTAATGTAATAAAATCAAGAAAAAACATACTCAAAGCAACCATTTTTTTTTAATTTCTAAGTAATTTTCATTCTTCAAAACAACTTTCACTTTTCAAAATTTATATTGCATATATTTCATTGTAAATTATGGTTTAAAACACAGTGTGTTTTGAAATGTGACCATTTAAAAGCATTTCTTTTGAAGCTGTGTTTTTAAAATTTTAACATTGAATCAAATTATTTCTGAATCAAATTAGAAGCTGCATATAAGGTATATAATATATATATATATGTATACATACATACATATATGTGGTATTCACATTGTCTGAACAGAGAGAGACATAATTCTCTCTCCCAGGATTTTTCCTGAGGAAGGCAGTGAGAAGCTCAGAGAATAAGAGAAAGCAATTCTTATCTCTACTTGCTGCTCCTGTTGTTTGACACATGTGGAATGTGTTATGGAGATTGTTTACCAAGAGTGATTTGTTAATTGGATTCTGCTGATGGTAGTTTGGATTGATTGGCCAATTATGTCAAAGCTGTGTCGTGACTGTCCGGAGACAGTCACAGGTTTTTCTTTACTATCTCTTTAGTATAGTATCTCTTTAATATAGTATAGTATTAGTGTAATATAGTATGGCTTCATAAAGCAATTGTTCAGCCTTCTGAAATCATTGGAGTCAAAGCACATTTTTCCCTACATTGGGGTCACTCTCTATCTATATATATATTAAAAAAATGTATATATTATATATATTCATGTATATGTTCTTCCAGGTGCATATATATACAATATACACTCTGTGTTTACTTTAAAACTGGAAAAGTTTAACGAAATTTCTCATGTAAATAAAATCCTGTATTTGAAGCTTTCACACCCAAATGATGTATGCTTTGTGTCAAAGTTATTGGTGCAAAGCACTAGATATCACCCATGTTCACCATGTCACAGCTCAGATCAAAACATCCCACAGTGAATTTGGCAAAGAGATAAGTAAAACAATTAACTCTTCAGCAAACAGGACAGACCACATAGGGATTTGTTGTTCTCTAGCAAGCACTGAAAATTGGTTTTGCTCTACTTCACTTCCAAACAACCTTCCACATTTCAAGCAGTAAAGGGCCCATATTTCCTCTCTTTAGAAGAGGTGCTTTTCAGAAGCCCGAAGCTAGAAGATGCTGGGCATTTCCTTGATGTTGCCAAAACCTTTCAAGCTGCTGTGGCAGATGAGCTGCTCAGCAGCTCGGGCAGCAGGACCCTTTCTCTGCGTGGCACCGCACCCCTTCTGAGATGATGGCAACACTGGGGCTGCCAGCTGGAGTTTTCCTCTGGCTCACATCCCAGGCTCCTGCTCTGCCTGGGCACGGATGAGCAGGGAACAAGCACTGGATGAACAGGGAACAAGCGCTGGTTGTCCCGGCCCCAGGCACCCCCTGCAGCCGCGCATCCGCCGGGGCTGCCAGTGGGACAAGGGCGCTCTGTGACAGCCCACACGCCACATGCTCCCGGGAGCACGGCTGCAGAGAGCAGCCCTCCCCTCCTTTTGTTCTCCCTGACCGCCTGCCAAACTTTGCCTGAGCTGAATTTAATGGCAAAAACTGCCTCTGACTTGCAAGGGACCATAATCAAATCTGTAGACGCAGGTATTGTAATGAGGTTTTTTTCCAGATAGCTTATTCATATTGAAGAATGCCTTATTTCATTTGCAATTTCACGGACATTTACCACTACGAAAGCAGGAAAAAAGGAATCCAACCTTCTCTGACCCCAGCATCTACATCCCTTTCTCCCCTTTGCACTAAATATCTGCTCAGGTCACACTGACTTTTATGCAGGCATGTATTCTAGGGGTAGAGTTTACTAGGGGTATTTACCATGTTTACTAGGGATATTTCTGGCAAAACCTGGATATAAAAAAACACCAAAGCAGAAGTCTGGAAAATGGACACACGTGGTCAAGAACATCACCAGGAATGATCACTGCAAAAGTGGCACAAGGGTTCATAGGATGTGTCTAAACACTCCAAGAACATTAAATTCAGCCCTTACCTGCATGAGCTGCTGCTTCAGTTTCTGTATCTCTGATATGTTGAGCTCACTGAAGAGGTCAGAGACGGGGTGCAGAGACTCTCCTTTCCTACTCGTGGGAGTTCTGTAGTCACCGTTGAGTTTCACCAGAGGCCCGTGGATGTGTCCGTTCATTTTGTCGTCATTGTTGGGCTCACCCCCATCCTCTGAAAACTTCAACCCATCTACTGATATATTAATATGGTTATTGTACATACTATCATTGAGGTTGATATACTGGGACAGTTCCTTTCTCAGATTGTTCTTTTGCTCTCTTTCATTTTTTAAAGTTTCCAGAGCTTCCTCCAGCTGATGCTCAGCAATCTCCTTCAGCCGGATGGCATCTTCTAGCTGGCTATTAAGCAACACTGTCTCCTCCTCAAATCGTTTAATCTCATGCTTTAAGCCTTCGTATTCAACCTGAATTAGACAAGACAAAGAACATTCATAATACTAAAACTTGAGTTGTGGAAACCTGCCATTTATCAGCCCTGTTGAGATAAGTGTTAGAGAAACTATGGTTTGGAACACCAGACATTGCCTGCTGCTGCAAGGAACTGACTGAGCAAAAAGTGCAAGTGGAGCTCTCTCTGTTAAATACTTCAGTGCTCACTTTTTCAGCATGGGAGACTCAAGAAATAGAAAACCTCTTTCTGAATAACTTATGATAAGCAATGAAATCTCATGGGAAGAAGGCTGTTTGTTAGCAGATGTCCTGGTAATAGCAGATTTACTATGAATTACCACAAGCAATGTTGGTATATCATGGTATTCAAAGATCTTAGGATTAATATAGCCTGATATATGATTTACAAATATTCTGAAGATGACATCATATCTCAATTCCTACTGGATGTAAAGTCACTCAGGTGAGTGACTTCTACTGGTTTTGTACCTTCCATCCATATTTTTGAAAACTACCAAGATATGCTTCAAGTATCTTGGTAGTTTTCAAAAATATGGATGGAAGGTACAAAACCAGTAGAAGAGCCTCAGCTTTCTTCTCTGCACTTTACAAGGCTCTCCATTACCCCAGAGGCATTTAATTTTTAAAAATTAAACAGGAATCTATTTGTACAGCCAGTTTAAACTCCAAGATGCCCCGAAATTGCTAGAGATTTTTAAACTACCAGAACAATGCAGCAAACAGCTCATGCAGCCCCCCACAGTCCCTGGAGTGCCTGCATGTAGAGCTGTCCCTCAGGAGCACACAGGAACCTGTTGCTCCAACCACAGTGCCTGGAATGTGTCCCAGTGACACCCCTTGGCAGCACTGGAGGGGCTCACTGTTCTGTCCTGCCCCACACCAAGGTGTGGTATTTTATCAAGGTATTTATGGGCATTGTGAGCTGAGCTAAACAGCAGCTTCTTCTCTGTCCTTTACAGGCAGCTCCCTTGTTCAGTCCTCTCCATTTCACCTCACAAGAAACAAAGCCTGGAAAAACCCAGCCTAGCTCAAAACCAGTTGATCAACAATAGCTAGACAGTGCAAGAGATCCCCACTGCAGAATGCTTCCCCTTTGCCATCCTTCCTCATCTTCCTTTTCACTGCTGGAAAACCCCACAGCAATGAAAAGGAAGAGCTTTGTTTGTCAAGGTCCATGCCCACACTTGACCAGCATTCCTGGTAAAAATGATGACATTTTGATTTTTTTTAAATTTAATTCTAATCATGTTAGTCATCTGCATCTTAATTTCAAAATGAAAAAAAGTCTCATTATCAGGGGAGAGAATTTAATAGCTTGGTGAAAGAGGGAAAAAATACCAAATTTTCATGTTTCCATAAAAAGCCCGAATTTTCTGCAGTTGATACTTTTATAAGTCGAACGCATTATCTGCAAGCTTAATGCATTGTATAGAATTTTTTAATATTTGACATATATGGATTTTTAATCAAACTAAAATAAGGTTCTGGCAAAAAAAATCTCCACCATTCCTACTGAAGTAGAATATTTATCAACCTGTCAAAAGTCTTCCACTCATAAACCTTTGGAAAGGCAAACTTAAAAACCAAAGCACTAATCTTCAAACCCAGAAACTGGAAACATATCAAACAACAAAGAAAGTCCCAATGTCATAGTGGGCATTCTTAAATAGAAAAGGAAAATCCATGAGAGTTTCAAATCTACATTTGGCAATTTAATATCTTTCCTTACTGGAGAAACAGATCCATCTGGAAAAATTGTGAAATGCAATCAAGTACCTATATTTATAACTTAAGTACATGAAGAAAAGCCAAACCCAACAAAACAACCAACACTTTTTCAATTTTAAATACACATAAAAGCTGAAGATCTATATCTCTATGGTTACCTTCTCATAGACTCTTACTTTAAAAAGCTACAAAATACCCCAACATGTAGGTAATGACATTTTAGCACCAAGATTTATAACATATGGTTTTGTAAATTCAACCATTAAAGTATAAAATGCTCTTAAAAATTTATCTTGTAGATTAAAGTAATTTTAGGAATCACGAGTGCATGAATCTCTGATGCAAAATGACTGATTTTTAAAGCTCTTCAAAATGTGGCAATGCTTTTTCTCTCCACAGACTGTTGGCATTTGATTTCAGTTAGAATGAAATATTATGACAAATATAAACACCTGCAAATAGATTTCATTTCTGGGGGAAACTAGGACAGTTCATAAAGGGGTGGTTTACTTCCTGAAATTGTGAAAATGTCTCCTATGAGGTTAATGAGAAAAAAATCCAAGCCTCAAGGAGGAATTTGCTGTCTGGGTAAATAACTCTGGCAACAAAGATGATCTGCTATGAATTCCATTTCAGGACTGTGAAGGACTAGGCATCTTCATAAATAAGGAAATTATGCACCCATTTCTATTACCTGTGTATTCCCTGCAGCACAGCTCTGTTGTTTTAAGTGTTTCAATTGCATTTGTGCTGCAGCAGTAAAAAAAGGCAGTAAAAGAGAGCTGAAATAGTACTGCTTATTCCTGCAGGAATAAGGCAGCTTTGTTCCCAGGCTGCCATTAGAAACTGTGACAGGGCTGGCTCTTCCACAGAAGCCCCAAGAGCACCAGGCAATAGGTCAGGACACAACCAGGAGCTGCAGAGCAGAGCTGTGACCCTCTGAGGTCAGGTGAGGAGAGGGCGTTATGAAGTACATTGTTATGATGGCCTAGACAGCATCTAAAAGGCAGAAAGTGTTATACCATCCAACCTAGATATTTTCATTTTCATCAACACAAGTTAACTCTTCTGACAGGAGACCAAAGCTCTTTTGCTCACTTTAATGGACAACTGGCTGCTGGGCATTGAGTTCCTGAGGGACAGGAAAAGCATGAAGTAAAAATACATCTCTTTTAATAATTCCTCTGTGATTCCATAGTTCTGCAATTAAATATTCCAATTTTTCACAATTTTTCAAAACTGAGATAAGAGCTTGCCCATATTTCAAAAATGGCACTAACACCATTTTAGAATAAGTGATTAGCAAAAACCCAGCTGGAAAAAAAAACCCAAACATAAAAAGGAACTTCTATCAAACTGCCCTACGGGATCACGTAATGGAAATTGGAGAAAATAGTGACAATTTACAGTACAGTGCCTTGAATGTTTCCAGGCTTACTTGATTCTGCTTCAGTGTGGACACCAGTTTCTGTAAAGTGATGTTTTCCTCCTCCAGCTCAGTGTAGTCCTGCAGCAGCCTCGCCTCTCGGAACTTGTACTCTCGAATCTCATCTTTCATCCGTATCCTCTGCAGCTCCACCATCTCGTTATTCTGGCAGGAGACAACACAAGGACATTACAATCCACACACAGCCACTGTATTGCTGAACACTGCCTTCAGAAAAGGCCAAACAGAAATTAATCCTGAAATAGAAATGATTCAACAGTGCACATCAAAACACCATCACCTATTAATCCGAGGCCAAGCAATCATTTCAGGTGGGTGCTGGCGATGCAGAAATGAGAGCATCTGATAGAGAAGCCTGATTAAAAGAGTTTCAAGATTAGAGGCTTATTGAAATGGAAACCCTGGAAAGGCTGTAGCATATCTCATTAGTCTCATTGCTCTCCAATACAGCAGGATTTAAATAAAATTACCACCTGTTTTCCACTGTAGGATGCATTTTACATTCATACAGAAAAGCAGCAAGCACTGACATCTGTTCTCCAAAGACATCTGCTAGGGAGCAAGGTGCACTCACATTTGCATCTGCAGGCACCAGAGAGGCTCTCAGGCAGGCACAGGGTGGAAAGCACTTGTCAAAAGCCTGACAAACTCCTGGCTGTGCTGAGCAGGATCACACCCAGCACGCCGGGAACACACAAGGTCACCATTTTATTTTTCCCATTAGCACATACAGAGCCCAGACAGCCTTATCAGAGAGAACATGAGGGATCAGTTTCACCAAAAATCAATTCCATCAGATTCCAGCTCTGAGTTTGTCATCAAAGGTCAGGTTATTCTGGAAAGACTCTGCTGGCATAACCAGGGTGTAAAAGGCACTACAGGAAGGTGGAGTTAACACACAGCTGGAAGAGAACCGTGACCAATACAGCTGGTTGGGAGGAACAACCTCCTGCCCTGCTTTGAAGGGAAGCCTGCATTTTTCTGATTAAGAGAAATGGGCATGGTCAATCACATCCCCTTTCCTGCAGGAGGATCCTGAGTATTGCCATAGCAGAGAGACCTAACTGATGGGGCAGAGTCCCCTCACAGCTGGGATGTCAGAGAGAGCACACCTGGGAAGCAGTAATGAGTTTCTGTAAAAGACTTCAATATGGAGAAGGGAACCACTGTCCCGATGGATACCTGAAAAAAAGTCAAATGTTTAAGCAGAAATTGTAGTCAGGGAGCTCTAAATCAATCAATCTGCACCACTCCCTCTGTGGTACATGAAGGATAAAACCCTACATTCTGAACTAAGGATAAAACTTCACTTAGCATCTTGGTTAAATAAGTACAAACCCCTGGAAAAGAATTTCACAAAGCATGAAAAAAAAATGTTGATGCAAGACATGACAAAGAGTTTTCAAAAACGAAAACTTTTTGTTAGAGAAAACTAAAAACCACCACCCTCCTCCAAGCAGCTGATTAAGAAGTAAAGAAACTACCTGATTTCTGAACTGAAAACATCTGAAAAGATTCCCAGCAGAAGAGCATCAGCTAAAAGTAAATATTCCTGTATCCAGGAATAACAACAAACCTCTGAACAAATTGTAAGAGCAACACCACAGATGATTTCAAAAGGTGAAGGCATTTTGTACCCCCAGGCTGCCTTTATACCTTTTGTTTCTGCCAGCCCAGCTGCATTCCCAGCTGTGGCAGCTGTGGGGGTGTGTGCCACTCTGTGGCAGTGTGGGGACAACACCAAATGCTCAACTCCACTGTGTCAAGGGTAAATTAAGCTGCTCTGCAACTCTCCCAGTGTTTGAGGATGATCAGCCCAGGGAATGAGCTGGCTGGCATCCATCCAACACTGCCAGGAGCCCTGGGAGAGGGAGCATCCTGACAGGATCCCAGAAGAGCTCAGCAGCCATTCCCACCAGCGCTGCCTGCACCTCACTGGGGTGAGACCATCACCAGCAGCAGTCAGGACAGATCTGCTCATGATCCAAACTGCTTCTGCCATCAGCACTGCTGAGGGAAAGGAGGGCTCCCCAAAAAGCCAGGCTGGATGGGGCCTTGAGCACCCTGGTCCAGCAGAAAGTGTCCCTGTTCATGGTGGGGGGGGTGGAACTACAAAATCTTTAAAGTCCTTTTTAACACAATCCACTTTCTGATTCTGTGATCCTAAAAAGGAAGAATGAAAGAGGTGGCCAGAAATGGAGGACATGAACAAGGAATTTTTACAGAATCCTGATATCCTGATAGACTACAAGGCAGTGCAGCTTGATAAAGCCTTGAAAATGAATTCTGTAAGACAGGAATACTGCTTTGTCCCTCCTGTCATAGCAAACTGCAACAGAAAACATGATCTATCACCTTGCTGGAGTGCACCACTATTTCTTTAAAAGAGATACCACATTTCTCCACCATTTATAACTGCTGCTTCCTACATAACCTTGGAGATATAAACAGAACCTTCTATTGCGCTCCTCTTCTTACACACAGAGAAACTCCTTCTGCAGTGCAGCCTCTATTTGTCCTTACTCATGGCATTTCATCAAGGAAGAAAGAGCAGGAAAAAGGAAGACTTGCCTGTTGGAGCATCCCATGTGCCATGTTCTGCCCAAACACTGCCTGCTACACTTCCCATGGCCAGGGCCAAGGCCTCTACTGGAAGCAATCCTGCTGCTCTGACACAGGGGCAAAGCAACTCAGCACATTACAGAATAGGGCATCACCTTTTCAAAGCAATATAAAATGTGTGTTTTATCACTGCAAACACCCAGGAGTAATTCTCCATGCTTCAGATCACTCCTCCTACTTGCAAACATCTGCACTATGCTGGCAAACACACAGCTGCAAAGCACTCCAGTGCCAGGAAAGGCAGTGATTCCACTCCACAGGCCCAAAACCCAGTGTTTCTGAGGTTTATGAGTGAGTAGCCACAGGACATGTGGAGAGCCATTCTGATTTCCTTTATGTAAGACCTCTGTATATTTTCTGGAAGTGAACTAGTCCTGAACCTATTAAAAAAAAAGCATCATGTTGAGTTTATTCTCTTTTAGTGTTGGTATGAAGGATATATTGGTTTTCATCAAATGCTTTGACTAAATATATTAACTTCTCACAATCCTATTGTTATTTTGAACACTTCAAAATACACATTTATTAAGCAAAATATCTGCAGTTATAGAGGAGAGATCTTGCTGTACTGATACAATGGCAAGAAGAAGCAAATTTTTTTTGGTGGACTTGTATGAAAAGAATATGAGAGGATTTAAAAACACAAGGCAAAATGATTTTGCCAGCAGGGCTGTTATCTACACGAGCCACTAGAGGACAATGTAACCCAAGTTATTAGCAAAGGAATTTGCAATTAAACTTTGCTACTCATCAAGCACTGAACTTGCAGGACAAAGCAATTGAGCCAGATGCTTTTACTAAGGCACTGCCTCAGGACTTTTTACATTCCCAGAGAGAATTCCCCTATGAACTATGTACTGGGTCTGCAGAAGCCAAATTAATCCAAGAGGTGGAGCTGATGACACACGAGTTTTAATGGTTGAAAATTATTTTCAATCCCAGCCACCCAGCTGAACATGGTGCAACAGCTTGAATGGATTGGTGCCAAAGAAGAAGGAAAAGGCCTCTCAGTGAAACTATAGAAAACAAGAGAGTCCTTGTCAGCAATGCATCTCATTATACATGAGCACTAATTGTGGAAGATGTCAGCCCCACAGCACCTCTAATGAACGTACACATCACAGAGCAGACCATGGCAAAGGAAAAATGGGAGGCTCAGTTGAGACAAAGTCTGTTCAGGTCACCTATTTACTGCTACTCAGATATATTTTCAGAATTGCAATATATGAAAAGTGAAAGACACATCTAGGTTTTGCAGAGGCACGGACAATGTCCACATATACCAGCCATCAATCCTGACAGGTCTCTGAGTATCAGTGGAATATTAAATAACACAAGTTTGTACTTCTTAGCAAATTAAACATAATATATGCTCAGAGAACATTAAATGACAGAAGTTTGTACTTCTTAGTCAATTAAATGGACTATATATTAATATATTGTTCATTTTTGATTTGGTCTAGACTTTCATATGCCACATACAAAGCTTTTCATAGGTTTATTTCATATGCCACATACAGAGCATGTTGGATTAATCACGTGTGGATACACTGCAATACATTGTGTAGTATCAATAAATTGCAAGTGAGAAGGTACTTTAAAATTAAGGAATGGAAGTGGCTAAGATTGAACAGTATGAAAAAATACACAATTTTCATGTCACTCCCAAGTGCTGCCCTAGGAAGCCACTTGTTGTGCTCCTGTAGCCTATCAATTCACCTAAAAAAGCCAAACTGGGCAAGGAAGGGACCCCTAAAGCTAAGTACTCTCATCTTCAAGGTGAGAAGGGAATTGTGAATTCCAATGGCTTCTGGTTTCCTGAACTGTGAAAAAATAGACTGAATTTCTCAGGCAAGTGGCAGCCTTGGGGTTTTTTTTCATTTTTTTTAAGCCTTTTTTTTTAAAGTGAATGCATTCTAATTAACTATTTGGGTTCCCCCAATGCTGAAGTGCATAAAGGACTTTTTATTTTATTATTTTTGTATTTTTTCTACTGCTTTTTACCCCCTACAAAAAAATTGTGGAACTAGTGTTTGGGCTTTTGGGCTTTTTCCATCCACTCTGTTCAAACAAATCCACTCTGTTCAAAACAAATGTTCAGAGCCTTCAGGTCCTTACTGCAGTTTTTACTTTTACTGCAGTTTTTACTTTTTTTACAGTCCTTACATACTATTTTTCACACTGAAAAACAGCCTTAAAAATCATCCATTAATTATACACCCTGAACTACCCAGACTAAATCCCTACTTATACGTTGGACCATGCAATCCACAGCAGGATGCTGTACATAACTTTTTAATTTTCATAACTCACAAGAGAGCAAGAGAACAATGATATATGGTGTCAACCCAAACTGTACCTTTCCAATTTAATGGCATTGTTTTCTAGCTGATGCAGGATAAAACCCCACTCCATCTGATGACAGTTTTATTGCACTAGGAAATTGAATATAAGAGAATAAGAATAGCAAATTGAATATAAGAGGAAGTTTATGCTCAGCCTAATATCCATGATCTTATGTG